CAGCAAGGGAGCATCTCTTCCCCGCTCGCTCTGTTTTGGTCCCGGACTTTCTCTCCTCGCTCTCACGCTGGGCAGCCTTCTAACTGCCATGCTGGTAAAACACGCGGCCACAGGGAAGCCCCGGGGGGTCGGGGTGCAGGTGCGCACGACCCAGGAGGCCTCGCCACGCCTCCTCCTGCACACGCACCACCCCACGTCAACGGCTAAGGGGAGGCCCCGGGGTGGAAAGTGACTACAGAGGGTTCTCCTGCTAACGAGTAGCTCCGACGTTCACACAAGGTTTCTCAAAAAAGAAACAAAAAAAATTAACAATTCTAGTTTGGATTTTTCCTTTTTTTTTCCCCCCAGAATGTGACTTATTTCCATTATATAAAGCAGAGTACCACAATGAGCTCTTTTCTGCACAAGGATTAATGGTCATGCAAGGAAAATAAGACAGAACACTTCTTTTTGCCTTGAAATTAAAATACTATAAACCTAGGTCATAAGACATGCATAGCCTTCAAAAGAGCCATCGCTTTTCTTCGGGATACTGTGACGGCTACTCTGTTTAATGGGAAATGACACTCGGGCAATCGCTGGACAAGTTTCCCATAAATCCCAGCAGGGTGCCACAAACACAAGTGCCATGATTATGATGACTCTAAAAAGCACAAATAGAGCAAATCTAAAACATCAATTGCCACAGAAGCAGTGTAAGAACAACAAGGTGCTGAGCTGTCGGAAACGAACAGAAGCTTCTCGTCGGGAGAACAAAGGCTGTGCAAACGACGCGTCTCACACCCTGACGGTCACTTTGATGGCCACCGAGACAATACAAAACTTTCTAAATGCTCTGTGGTCTATATTTTTCACGGCCCGTGTCTCCTATAAAATTGCAGCAAAAATAGTTAAAACTGTTTTACCTTCTTCCTAAATACCCATAGTTCTTGTCATCTGCACGCCACTGTGTGACTCTACTGGTCGTCATGCCATTTAAATAACAGTGAAAAACATAAAACGCTAGGGAGGGCGTGGCTAAGACAACAAACATGATATATTCTGTGGTATTAGGTAAAAAGAAGCTAGAACAAAGCAAGACAAAACCTGTAAAATTCTGGGTTCTCCAGAAACTCAGGTGCCACGTCCCTGTCACTCATCCAACACACTGCCGCCCCGGCTGAGTGCCGCGTGGTAGAGACTCAGGCCATCCGTCTGCTGTGCGCACTGGCATCACGCCAACTTGGAAAGACTGGCCCCAAGTGGTGGGGGCTCACTGAGCACCTGAAGAAATGAAATTCTTCTGAGCTGATCGTGATACGAGCAAGGCTTGACAAGAAGTAAACTGTCACAGACTGACGGGACTTGAAGGAGGAGCCGGACATGGGACATGGGACCGGACCCAGGAGGGGTAGCAGGCTCCGCCAGGGAACTCCGGCCTCCAGCACATCAGATGCAGTATTGGGGGGATAAGTGTAAACAATCACACACACACAGACACACGGACACACACAGGTAAACCAAGGAAATTTTGGACTTTTATACTGTGTGACCCAACCCAAAAATTATTTCAAGGAAAAGGCAGAAGTGCAATTAATTATCAGCATTTGGGACGCTGTCACCCAAACAAGCTTTACTGTTTTTCAGGAAACACAAGGCACTGGCTTAAACCTGACACCTGCTCAGCCACACCTGTGTCATGTGACCCCGCCGGCACCCTAACCTGAGCAAAGCCACCCCGCACACCTCGCCCAGAAACCATGTGGTCACGGCCAACCACCATGATGCTGATTCTCGCTAAACTGCAAAAAATGGAACGCGTCGCGCTGCCAAGCACGGCTGAGAGCGGACAGGAAGACAGGTCTCAGCGGCTAGAGTCACAAAGCAAGGCCTGAGAAAGTGAAGCCAAAATGTCAGCGGCCTGCATCTGGCGAACAGTCAAGCAAGCTGGAGCCAGCATCTGAGTGTGTCGCTCATTCCAGCAAAGGAATTGGGCCCTTCCCAAGTGCAAGCCACGCATGTGACATGGACACAAGCCGTAGGCCAGTTTCTCTCCACCTTCCTCCATCTGGCAGAACTCCCTAAGGTAAGTTTGCTCAAAGGTTAAGATAAACTACAGCAAGATCCATCTAGGAGGTGGGTTAAGTCGCCCTAAAGATTCGGCGAATGTCTGCTCAGCGCGTCCCGGCGCCCAGCCGCAGGGCACCAGTGAGGGAGCCGGGAGAGCAAGGGACAGGGCAAGCGAAGCAGGGTCACACCCTCCACCCGGAAGCAGCCGCGGCCCTGGCTCACGCAGAGCACAGAGGGGGTTTCTCTAAAGAGAGGCTGTGGTGTTGGCCCTGAACACGCGGGGCACCCAGTGCCAATGCTGCAATCCCTTACTGCCAGAGGGTACGTCCGTTATTCCTTCCAAACGCAGCGAGCAGTCCCCTTCAGCAAGTGCTAGCCCGTGTCCGCTCCCCCGGCACATGGCCTCAGCGTTTCGAGGGGCTACCCAGTCACTGCCTGCAAGCAGCTTTCCAAACACCCAAGCTGTCCCACAATCGTTCCCACGCCTCTCCTGGGCAAAAACATTCGACAACACCACGGAACAACACAGAGGGGAGCGAGGGGAGGAAGCACAGGTATTGACTTAGGAAAAGAAAAACTACCTGAGATAAAATCTGCCCAAAGGGTAAGGGTTTAAAGAAAATTTCTAGGTTCTTAATAATGTCAAAGAATCCTAACCTCTGTGTATATTCATCCTAAAAGAATCATGAAAATTGCACCTCTCGATAATATTTGGTTCAGGTTTAAGAGAGATCCAGATCAATCTGAAAAGAGGGAGAGAGAATCTGCGGATGTCTCATCTTTGGTAGTAACGGGTAAGAGCTATAAAGTAAAATAACTGATATCACAGGAGGCATCTCTACAATTCTGTGGCTTTAAGTTCAGCACACGGGCACCGAGGCTCGTCAGTCTCTGCCTCTGCTCCCTTCAAACCTAGCTAGCGCCTCCTGTAGTGAAGTTCCACAGCAGCACACACTGCGTGTAGGTTTGAACGTGACGGCCACAAGAAGATGAGCAGACTGCTGTGCAATTCAGCACGGAGATGCCAGCCACGTGCCGCATCACCCAGCCGAGACGTCGCCTGCACAAGATCTGTAAGGACTTAGGTTTCGGCAGGAGCCAGGGGAATGAGAAAGGTGCACGTGCTGACCTCGCAGCCGCAAGAGGAGGCTGCTGGCTCTCTGCGCCGTCAGAGTGCACGGCAGGCCGGCGCCTCCGGTCACCGTGGAAGCCGCTGCCTGGGACACGCTGCAGGACAGCCTCGTCTCCGCACACTGGTTATGTTCTTCCAACGTTTACATGAAAACGAACTAGCTAGTCAAGCTCTGAAAGGGCCACAATGGAAACTAATAGTCCTTCCTTTTAAGGACACGTATTAGAAGCTTCCTATATCAATTCCCTTGGGGACCACATCACAAGCCTTCTGGCGATTCATAAATCAGTCTCCTTATATCAGATTTGGCTTCCTAATAAATGTTAAAGAAGAGTCCTAAATAATTTGATAACTGTAAATAACTAAAATGTCAAATGGTGACTGTTAAATAGGATAAAATAATCCATCTTCTAAAACGTAGGCTTCTATCTGGGCTCTCCGTCACCCGCATGGCACACACAGGCCAGATTACGTGATGAGGCTTCCGGCAGAGCAAAATATAGAAGACTTTTCCTTTAGGAAAAAAATAAATAGAAATTTCATCTAGGTAAGGAAACCAGAAAAAGTTTATAATTTGTACCCAACATTTCGTATTGTCAGTGCTTTGTAAAGATCTAAGTTTTAAGTCTTTGAAGACCATCCACTGTGAGGTGCGAGGAAGCACGCTCGCCTGTGACAGTGACCCCAGGCTCACCTGTGTGGTCAGGGACATGTCAAGGTAAAGAATTCTTCCCGAGTTTTCCTTCCTTTCTACTTGCACCTTATCACAGCCACACCCTTCTTAACTCCGGCCTTCGCCAGAGCGCGGGGCACACTGGTCCCGCAGCGTCTCTCCAGCTAAGGACACAGGTGAGGCGGGGCGGGGGTGGGGGGGAGAGAGGGTGA